TCTAATGCTCTCTGAGGTCTAGAGCTACAGGAATTTCCAGGTAAACTTTCAGATGTAACACTCAAAATACCTGTAAATATTCTAGGCACCCGAAAAGCTCACTGAAACCACATTTTTCTCTAGAAACACAAAAATACACTTCTGTACCTGCCCAGACATCCAGTATCTCACATGTTTGTTCTCAGGTCAAAAGCTAGAGGCAATTTTCAGTTCTGGGGAGTAGACAACTACTTTTTTTGCTAAATGTAGTCTAACTGGTGAGCTAGATGTCTATCAAATCAATACAATCTAGACATTTTACTTAAAGCAATCTAGAAACATATCTATCTAGAAGGCTAGCAGATATGACATAGTACTTAAAGAGATACCCAGACCCTCTGCAGTGCTGGAATTTTTATTCCTAAAACTATACTAGAAACTGTTTTTAAGAACCCAAATTTCTCTCAAGGAACTGAAAATCTTAATTCTCCTGATCTGCTGTTTGATAAATAACGTTGCACTGTGAGTAGCATACACATCCATGAAATTAGCTGAAAATAGCCAAAATAAGAGCATTATTCAAAAAGATTTCATCTCTATATAATTCCTTAAAAAATCAAACAAAATAAAAATACCTTTGTGATTCTATCACTATCGATTTCCCACTTATTTTGTCCCCAAATTCGAGTTCCAATGCCAAGCTACCTATAATGCTATACATGTTTTAAAACTAATCAGTTACGTATGTACTAATATTGGGGATCATCATGACCCAGGTGCAAGACCTTGCACTTGTCCTTGTTCAACTTCATGAGGTTTTTATGATCTCACTTCTCAAACCTGTCAAGGTTCCCCCACATGGCATCCCTTCCCTCAAGCAAATGACCTGTACCACTCATCTTGGTGTCTGATCACAATGGTGTTTGCCATCCACAGACTGGTTTCCACCAGTAATGAGTGTAGCCCTTAGTTTAGTGTTCTATATTATAACCTGTAATAAAAAAAAAGATTACAGGATACGGTTGTCTCCTAGAAGCTTGAGTTCATGATCCCAGAATCATCTTCTGCCAGCTGTTTCTAGAAGCAATATAAACTGCAGTGTGCAGAGCTCAAATTAAGTCATGGGACTCCAGGAGGATTCAAGATCGTGCTATTACACAGCACTCCTCCTTTTATGTAAATACCAAGGAAGGTGGCTGCTCAATGGCTGATGGGAAAGTAAAGGAATACTTAGTAAAAGATAAGGATGGTCTTCCCCTGCCATACTGCTGAGCTATCCAAATAAATAAAACTTATTACAGTCTTCCGCCTAGTAATGAAGATGAGGTGTATTTTCAACCTTGATAGGATGAGGACAACTCGATTTCATTTACAATACAACTAGTATTCATTTACACTGCAAGCTTATGTTTAAAAGCTTTATTGTTTTTCTTGGATAAAATAACACTGATTTTTGAACTTTTTTTTTTTTAAAGTTCCCTGTAGAAACTAGTATGACCCTGCTATTATTGTTCAGTACTGTAGATTTGAATTATGAGTCACAGTGATAAAACATTTTCAAGTTCAAGCATTGCAGAGTAGTAAAATTTGCACTCCACTTCTTTGAACTGAACATGACTCAACTTCAAAAAACACCTCTAATCAATCAGACGACCTCCCCATGCAAAACAGTGTGATTATTTCCTATTTCACTTTCACTTGCTTGCTCACGATGTTATGATTCAGTGAACTTCTGTTAACCATCCAGTTTGAAGAATGTTCAAATTACACAATTTTGACAGTTTTTCATTACTGTTCTAGAATGCTTCATGTAATATAATCTTCAGATTAATTTCCTAAAAATCAGTGGTATTTCTGCAATTGTTACTGGGGGAGAGGAACCTCAATCCATCCCACTCCTACTAGTCTGATGCTGGTGCCAGCACGAGATGCCCAGAGCCTGGAGAGGGGTCACAGGTCAGCAGAAGCACACCTGAGCAGCAGCACAAATGAATTCCAGCCACTCCAGCCAGTAATGGCTTCATCAGGGGCCAACTTAAATGCCTCTACGCAAATGCACATAGGATGGGAAATGAACAAAAGGAGTTAGAGACATGCATATGCCTTCTGGGCTATGATCTTACTGGCATCATGGAGACATGGAGGGATGGCTCCTATGACTGGAGTGTTGGATCGGAAAGATACAAGCTCTTCAGTAAGGACAGGCAGCGGACATGAGGTGTCCATTTAATTGACGGAATCCCATGCTAAAATTATGCTAATGCTTCACCAAGACAGAAAAAATGTGGGGAGTATTTTTTTTTTTTTCATCTAAGAGTGTAAAACACAGTGAGAAGCCAAAAAGAAATCTAGAAATAAGAGCTGAAGGCATTGCTTAACCAGAGGTTGCACTGCTCAGCTGACTCCACTTCCATTTGCAGTCATAAACCCTGACAACAGGAGGCAAAGCAAAGACTCTGATCTACAACACTGAATCCCAAGAGCTGAAAAGTAGGCTGAGAAGAGCTGACAGCTCAAAGAATATGAGTTATATTGTGCCCTGATTTCTTCAGAGAATTAAGAGCTGATCTGTTTCCTAAAACTCCCAAGACTAGAGCTGCAACGATTTATTCTTGCTTTCTAATATGAAGGCTTTTTTATTCCCTCACATTTTTTATCATAAATGATACAAGACAGAAGGCCTGATTAGAGTCTGAGAACAAGATCAAGAATCTGACAGTATGTGGCTACATCAAAGAAGCTAAATAGCACCTCACAGACTACCACAGGGCTCCATATGACCACTCAGCTGTCAGGTTGGGATTTTAGAATGAAATCTCACCATTTAAACTAGCTTACACCTGTGATGCAAGATGAAAATCTGAGAACAAAGCATGGGCCATTTGTTTATTTTTCATTACTGTTACTATATTGTGTATTGCCAGCAAGCACTTTTTGCATACTCTATAAATTGCAGTTTTCTCTTCAGAGAAAACATTAGTGGATGTTGAAGAATTTTAGCTGCAGGTGTGGATAAGAATGACAGCAAGAAAAAAAGTAAAAGTGATCAATGTGTGGGGATTTCTTTCGATATCTCTCTTAAATACAAGAGCACAATATAGCAAAATCTGCCCAAGCTATTCTATCTATCTGAACCAACTGTACCTATTTGAACCAATGTTGGTAATTATACACACTCTCACGGTTCTTCCATTCACCCAAATGCATTCCTGTTGTCCACATATTTGGCTTGGGTTGTGTATTTTCCTGAAAGCCTTCAGATCTATTCTGATCTGTCTCCTGAAAAACTTTTCATAGGAATATAACCTTGTTCTAGACAAAATAGCAAATATCTTCACAAATATTGCCATATTTCTGTTCATGTATTTTTGAGTACCTTCCAGCTGGCAGTGGAACGTGTGTATTTGTGGCTTACATATACTTCAGAAAAGTAACCAGCAGAGAAGCTGAAATAAATTTGTCTCAAGACTTACAACTTCATTTTCTAGTCTTCTGCTTTTTTAACATATAGTCCAATTATCACTTCACAGGAACAAGAAGATTTTCAAAAGGCACAGCTGGCTTCTGATGTCCATGAACTTGCAGCAGGAATTAAAAGACAGACATCAATATACTCTACCACACTTCTCTGGTTTAATGTTGTTTGCTTCCCTTTCTTCTCCTTCTCCCTGAATCTCCCTCAGTGCATTATGAAGAACAAACAAAATGCTGAGAAAACAGTGAAAACTAAAATCACACCATCACTCAGTTTACCCTTCACACCCCTCCCCAGAACTGTATTTTATCTCAGTGTGCTGTGAGATCTTGAAATAAGACTTTCCCTTCTTGGGACATGGCTGTGGCTAATTCTAGTGCAAGACAATGTAAATCTAACACAAATTATTAGTTCCAAAGTAATTAAGTGATTATTTTAACTTTGATTTCAGCTTTGTATACTTTATATCAGCCTTGTTTACTTCATATCAATTACTCTTTTTCCTGAAAAAAAGTATCATGAGTTTTCTGAAGAGAGTACATAGCTATAGCTTAGGTGCATTCATGCATTATGTGTACTATTCACTATAGTAACTCATAAGAGCTCAGCTATGATAATGGATCAGCATGGATGCTAAACTGTTAAACAGGATCCTGTTTATAAAGCAGGTTTTATTCAATTACATTTAAATTGCTACAAATTGGAATAAACATGGTTCAGTGATGTAAAAGTCACAGGAGTTTTCAAAGCTGTTATTCTCTCTGATTTTTACACTTCGCATAATGGTACCCTCAGATCTCATAACTAACCTGTCATACTTCAAATTATTGCTTATTCAAAACTTTATTATCATATATTACTATTCCTTCTCCTTGAATTTAGGACTCAATGATTACACTGAATTGAAATGTAATTATACTGCATCTAGCACAATGGTTACAGAACAAGTCACATCTGCTTCAAAGTTCATAGATCATACAGAGTGAGAAGGAAGAACTATGCAACAGCAAAACTTTTCTAGTCATTTCTACATGTCTTTCCCTTTTCATTAATCAATGTGTCAGGCACAGTATGAAAGAATGGCAATTACATTAATCTGTTTTATAAATGGGATATATTCTATACATAGATTTCTAAACTAAAGCCTTGTCACATATTTTTGCAAACTGAAAGACCATCAGCTCTATCTGACGCAGTGCAGCCTGGAAACCCCAAGCCTTACGGAGAAGCAGTGTCACAATAGCCGGGTTTAATCCCATGTCATTTAACTACAAACTGATTCATATCAGTATTTACAGAGCTGAGAAATAATAACAATTCATGCTTATCATGAATAAACACGTAAAAAGCACTAATGTTCAGCAAGGATTGTATTCCATGTCTCATTATATAAACATATGCTAAACAGGCATTTTAACTGGAAGTATATATTGCAAAGATGTATTTCAAACATTTAAGAACAACAGCAGCAGAGACTTGTTCTCATTTCTTTTATATTAATTTTTACAGCAGACAGAATTGCTCTGAACATAGTGCAAGTACTTACCACTGTGTTGTATTTTTGAGAAGGCTTCAGAATTCTCCCATAAGAGGCAGCATGATGTCATTTTACTTACAGCAGAAGTTTTTCCTGTTAGGAAAAAATACATAGTGCTCTTCAGTAAATGAATGGGAAAAAAGGCATGCTTGTAAGTCACACATGGTGAAAAAAGTGACTTATTAATCAGCTGTAATGCTGTTTTTCAAGAATAAAAAAAGGAAAATCATAACACTGATACCCAGAGAATAAATACATTGATCATATTGCACTGACTTCTGTCATAAAAAAAATATTAGCAATATTTTTAGTTTGCAGATTGATCACTACTACAAAACCAGAATTCTCTTATAGCTATATACCACAAAAATATACATTTGGGGACAGGAGGGGGACGGGAGGGGGATGGGACCTAAAGCAAGCACTTAAAAGAAGAAAAAAAAAACCCCACTGCAAATCCTTGGGTTTTAAATATTTATGTAAACATGTATTACAAATATTCAAATATAAAAGACATGAATTCAAATATATGAAAATATAAATATTCCATTTTTAAAGCCATTTGACTATTATTTTTTCTTTCTTATGGGTAATTCAAAACTGTAGTCAATTCTTCAAATGACATTTCAATGATAGGCTATTTGCCAATCTTCTATCCATTTTAGATAGACTATTTAGATAGGCTGAATAGCAGTATTTACCAATAGTCTCTACTGTCAGAACTATCTTGAGACACTGCAACTTAAAACTCAAACCTTAATATTGTTAAGAAAGTTATTTCAGGTAATTTGCTTAGGTTCCAAGACTGTATTAGCTGAAATACTTCTCTTCCCTCAAAGGCCTGCAGAGTTGATTTTACTGCATTCATAGCTACACACATTTTGCAGGGGAATTCATGCACAGACTGTGTGTTTGTTTCTGTATCTCTCTTAAAGTACCAAGGCACTTCGTATAATTTAGTCTTATTTTCAATAAATTAATCATCACAAAGAAGCACTTTGTGTGCAAAATACCATTTCAAAAATAATTACAGGAGCAAGGGTGAGGCAGTCAAGTATTCCTATTAGCTTGCTAATATGTCAAGCAACCTCAACTTCTGAAAAATCACACAATGCATTTGGTCACAGCATAGTGCCTATTAACACTATAGAAACACTTCTGCAATAAATTGGCAAGCATGTTCCACAAACTTATATGGCTTTCAGGGTCCATCAGCACCTTACTCATCAGCAGGAACAGACATGACTTCCAGGTAACAGATGAAGTATGGACTATCATCACAAACAATGTATCTATACATACACATGCATACAAACACATTCTCTCTGTGTATGCATGTATCCTGTATATTAAGAAATTAACCAGGTTTTAGCAATAAGAATCCTAAGAAGCATGGCAGTGGGTTTCCGTATTATATTTCAGAAACTTTTCTCATACTATTTAAAGAAAAATCATCAGATTTTAGCCTTTGATTTTGACCAAAATCAATATAAAATTGTTTACTATAATGGTGTAACTTACTTGCTACTGGCAGATCCTGAAATTTTAATCACAATGAATGACTTTCTCATTAATGTTTTTACTCACTAGGGCAAAACCACTACCTGTAAGTGCAATTCATCCCAACAACTGCACAGTCCTCAATTCTGTGTAAAGTCTGTGATTATAAACTGGAAATAAATACCAGGAAATGCGTATCTGAATGCATGTCTTAAACATACAAGTTCAGGAATATGGAAGCAAAGCAAAATTCCTTATGAATAAGGAATGTGTGAAACACTCTAGATAAACTGTGAGAGTGTCCATCTGGACACTTGCTGCAGGGGAAGCCTGGCAACACTACAACTTTTCATACACACCCGTTGAGGAATCAGATGTTTAAGTGTAGGGCAATCTTTACTCCAAGCTACAATAATGTCTTAAATCTCTCCACATGACAGTGGCACTTTTACTGGAGATTTCACTGCTCATGTAGACTTTGACAGCCATTCCCATTCTCCAACAGTGATTAAACCTAGGATATAAGAAATAAGGAAGGATTTAAGGAATGGCTGGACAGTGAAAATCCACTAAGGCTAATACAGCTTCTCTTCTGTTATTTTAAACTTGCACTTCTTTATTTCGGTAGCCTTTATAACTTAATTCTTTCTACAGGAACAGAATAAGACTCATCTTGGCTTTACTGATAAAGATGGGGATTGCATATACTGTCTCTCCACAGCACCAAAATAGTATCCACCTTTAAAGCATAAAAATTAATTAAGAAAGTGCTATTTGTGAACTGTGTTTTCCAAGTTTATCTTTTCACATATCTATTTATCCCTTTCACCTTTGGTTTGTCATATGGATGTTCCAATTATCCTTTCCAAACTGATTTTATTTATGGATGACTAGATTATAGTTTAGACTGTAAATATTCTAGTAAACCACACTGTCTTGTACATTTCCACGTTGTGTTTAGACTTTCTCTCTGTAATAATCAGTTATCCTCTGAAGAAAAAAACAACAACAAAAAAAAAACAACTGCAAATACAGCACTCCCTTGTATCAGGAAGGCACACATGTTAAAAGACTAACAGTCAAATTCTAAGACAAAATATAGATGTTGCCTACATATATATTATGTCATTTTATCTCCATATAAATGACAACCGATTTCCTCATAATTGTAAAGTATTATTAAAATATTAAGGGAATCTGGCAGTCCTTCTAAGCATATTTCCCTGAAGCTTAAAACATATTTTCTCACCAGTCCAGGCTCATATGTAATTTGAATCTTACAGTGTTATGATGATCCTAGTTCTAAGTTACTCAGTTTAAGCTTACTCAATTGACTCATTTCACAGAATTACCACAACAGTCTCTTAATTTATGGGTGATAAAACAACAAGCAACTAATACGGACACACTTATCTTAGTCTTTACCTGAGAAATAAGATCTGTCTCATAGATGTTTTGTTTCAAACTTGATGACCTACTCTTTCCAACTATCGCCTCTGACAGCTCTTGTCAATACCCAGATATAGGCTGAAAATATTTGTTTATTCTTTGATGCTCAATTTTATTCATCACAATGACTGGGTTATTTTAATTAACTTCAATTTAGGCAGACAGGTTCATTAAGTCTCTCTGAGAAAACGTGCCCTTTTAAATGCAAACTTAGCATCTTTAAATCTGCATCTTTTACAGTGTTTACATTCTTTTCCCCACTGATTCAGTTTCATATCAAGTTCTTTCTTCGGAATATTTTAATAATAAGCCCTCCCCAATGCTAAATTCAAGAATTTCATACTCAGCAACATGTTCAGTAGCAAAAAAATTTTCAAAACTTTTGAACTATAAATAGAAAATCACTCATTAAACAGCGGATAAATGTATTTGGGCAGTTTTATGATGCTCTCTCAGCATCAATAGCCCAGAAGGCAGAACATCAGATAAGGAGATGATGCTATTTCAACTTAATTGCCAGGACAGTTTGGGAGGAGGTGCACCTTAAGAAGACAAAAGCCAGCTACAGGTAGATCCCACAGCAGGAAATGGACAAAGCCCAACTAGAGGAGTATCACAGATGCACAAATGAAATCAACTTTCTCCTTAATTTAGGTATTTGAAAACTAACTAACTAAACCTGACCTCAGGCTTCCTTTGCATTTAGTGGGAAAAAAAATAGGCATCCCAAACTGTAGAAGGCTTATACATCTCCATGAGACAAATACTGTGGGTTTTAAGTAAGAAATCAAACAACCCACTCTTCACATATACCAACTGAGGTTATGTTGACTTACAAATAGCTAAGAAATGAGTGGTGGTATCTTACCTTCTTTACATAAAGCAAATGTAAGTAAGTATCAAACAAGCAAAGGCAGTAAAATGTAACTTCTCTGATAAATGTACAGTAACTCTTTCTTTGCCTACAGGTAGGGAATTCACCAACATGAAAAATCTCCCATTTTGAAGACACATTTTTCAACTTTAATCAAAAACAGCACACCAGAAGACAGAAAACCTCTCATCCACACACTCCCTCTAAATGTATATTTTCCAAGTGTTATTCCTTGTGTTGATTCTTTCTCCCTCTGACATAGTAGTCTCCTCAAGATTTCCTGCTCATTTCTTTCTGCTTTAAATAGGTAAACCTATGAACCTACTTCTACCTTTGGTCTTGATTCCTCCCTGTCCCATAAGGATCCATTTGTGGTAGCATACTCAGAGAAATGAGGAAAAAGAGACTGACACTCTTCTGAAGTCAGAGGTGAGGCACTGTGTTCTCAGCCACAATTAACTAAAATATCCAAGAGAACAGGTGGGTGGCTTCACAAAGAAACTACAAGAAAAAGAACGAATAAGAATGTATGACTCTGGCAAGGTCTGCAAGGTCAGGCAAAACTGTGAGCAGGGCCCAGAGATGAGTGGAGAAAGTAGTCAGAACATCCCAACACAAATGACAACCAGAGACTGCTCTTCAGAGAAAACAGGCTTCTACCAAACATACAACTGCAGAAGCAGAAGAATGATAACACAGAAACAGAAAGGCTGAGGCCATCTCCACAGGACGCAGACCAAGGAAGAGGAATGAAGCTGTAATGCATGATGGCAGCTAGGATCAAGTGATGTGAATCTGAAGGAGTCCCTATTTTTACTAACATCTGGAAAATCTTCTTGCCTTGGACAGTATTTAGATACGAATCTTTGCTAACAGGACTGGCAAAACACAAGTGAGTTTCTTATGTGGTCCACATAAGAACCACTGTGAAGTACTTGTCAAAACAAAGGTATCATGTGTGATGCAGCAGATAAAAATTTTATCTTCAGATGAATGATGGTAAATTTTTGAATAGCATATAATACACATTTCATTAGAAAATTTATTTTTGTAACACCAAAAAATGGAAATCTAAAGGATGAAAGGATTACAATATGAGTACAGCAAGATTCCAAACAAACCTAATAATTAATGCTGTAAGTCAGAAATCTGAAAAGCTCCAGAAATAAAAAAAAAAAAAAATTGCTGAGGGGGAAAAACAAAACGAAAAATTACACAAACAAATCCAAAATCCCCCCTCAAAAAAAAAAAACATCAAACAACCCCAACAAAAAAAATGCCAAAAAAAAAAGAAAAAAATTAAAAAAAATACAAACAAAAAAACCCAGACTGAAAACAAAAGGGTTAGACTCAGTTTCAACCACAGCACAACAAAAGAAACCTTCTGAAGAAATTGCAAACTGCTATGAGAAGTCAGGAAGAATTAAACTCATGAAGTCTGAGCTCGAAACAGCAACACACACAAGAGAAATGCTGATAATGCAGAAGTGAGTGATTTGCCATGTTAAGAAATTCTGAAGGGTAAACGGAATGACAAATCCCCTCAAGGAACTTCAGGCCAGTAAGTAACAATGCCAACAAACCATGTAGAATATGACATAGTAAAAATGAAGTACATAAGAAAGGCTAAATCTAAGGTCAAAGAGAAGAGGAGAGAATGCTGACCCGGTTTCAAAGAAAAGGTTGATTCTCAAGTCAGGGATAAGAGAAAGGCCAAGCCTGAGATTAAGGAGGAGGATGAAAAGGAGGACAAGATACAGCTAAAGGAGAAAGACAGCAGAAAGGGGATGGGAAAAGAACAATCTGAGATTAAAAAAAAAAAAAAGAAAAAGATTAAGGACAAAGTCAAAGGAACAGAATCCAAAGACAGCTTCAAGACCATGCTGAGACATACTGAAATTAAAGATCAGTTAGGAACAGCAAGAGCTCCACATAATTACCCTCAAGCCTGCCAAGGTACAGCATTCAAAGACTGTAGATAGGGAATCAGAAGAATGGAAGACAGAATAATCCACCCAGTGGCATGAAGTTCAGATCATCTATTCAATCCTTACTTCAAGTACACAGTTAAGTCTCCCTGGGCCTTCTAATATTATTTACTTGTTTCTGAAACTAACAGCAAAAAAATGTACCAAAGGGCACTTAAACAGCTATTACAGCGAAGCTCTTGCTATGCTCAAGGCAATGTTGACTATCAGTGTCACCTCCAAGTCATTACCAGTAAAGCATTTATCTTTGATGATAAATGTGTGCATGAGCAACCTCTGAAAAACATATTTGCCTTTCTCCCATATGATTTTTTTTTTTTAAGAGCCTAGGTAATTCAGGAAAAAAAAATTTCATAGCCAGAAAGACTGGAATGACTGAACACTGAATGAAAATTCATACATGAAAAACATGTCATAAGTGAAAAAGTTCCTACATTTACTTTACACAAATCATGCACCAGATACTATCATTGTTGGTTAATACACTGTCAAAATATAAGCCACTGAGCTGTTTTTCACATATCGCCTCTCCAAAAATGCAGTGTGAAATTGCTATCTCAGCAATCAAATTGAAATCAGCTCATCAAAATCTGTCTGCATCTAGGTGTTTGACTATCTAGCTACATAATTTTCCATTCCTGTACTATCTAAATATCTTTCTGGTGGATACTACACGTGCAGGGAGGGTATTCCAGGTCAGTGCTGATATAACTCAGAAGTTTCCAGGGAATCAAGGCAGAGGGCCCCAACTGACAGCAACATCGCCACAAGTTAAGAGACTTTCTTCTCTTGAAAACTCAACTCTTACTCATTTTCACCTTCACAGTGTTCCCCCAGCTCTCCAGAATGAAATTAAAACATTAGTAAACCAAGTCACAGATGGCAACCCACCCATATTGCATCTCCAAAACAAATATTCATAGGAAACCTTGCAGCCTAGCATGTCCCCAAGGGCACCACCAGCCCTGACTGTCCCCACCCAGTCCCTTCAGGGCTCCCCTACCCTGCCTAGGACCCCATGTCAGCTACCCAGGACCATCAGCCCCTGTCCCAGTGACACCCCATCAGGGCCGGTCTCCAGCTCCCCACAGCCCTGCACTACTGAGCCCATGTCTCAACTCATCTCTCCATCCCCAAGGAGGTACCCAATGCCCTGGGCTGGGGCTGCCCCGGTGCCCCCAGCTACCCTGATAGTGGCTAGAGTGGGATAGGACCTGGCTGCCAGGCCCTGCTCTGCTGCCCTCCATGAGGAGACTCTAATGCTCCCGGCCCCTGTGATGCCATGACACATTACCAAATTCAGAACTTCAAGTGAACTGTTCACACAGCAAAAACATCCAACTTTAACCAATCCCATAATGAGACAAATGAGAAGCACATCCTTCTTGCAGCAGCTGTCTTCCCACCCATAACAGAATTACCAAAATCCACACCATGTAAATCCATGATAATTTTTTTTTCCACAGACACCTTAATGAAAGCTGTGTGGATTAAAAGCAAACAAACACACAAAAAAAACACGCACACCAAAATCTGCAGAAGAATGAACTCACATAATCAGTCAAGAATGGAAACAACGAGTTATAATTGATTTTTTTTTAACATTCCTCTATTACCCTTTCCTGTTTCTCCATCCAGACTAGCTAAAACCTCCTAGGTAAACCTACGCACTAAATTCCTTAGTTACAAAGAGTATTCAAAATTGGACTCCACAGAGACATTAATCTTACTATTGTATCTACACCTCTTCTCTGGAGAAGCTCTCATTTTTTGTTATAGCCTATATTCACATTTTTTACATGACTGAGCCACCTACTTAGCACCTATACCTGCTATACAGGTGCTGCGTCTCAAATTGTCTAAATGATAGATTAATTATGTTATGAAAGGCATTGTATCTACATTTCCTTAGGAGGTAATGCTCAGAACATTTGTTGCTAGCAAGCGTTCAGTGTAAAGTCTGCTGCTTTAGTTTCAGCCCCTTAAGAGATGGTCTTCTGCATCCAGAAGCTCATCATTTTTTCCCCTAACTATATCTGTTAGTAAAAGAAGTGCCATTAACTCTCCTTACAAACTTTGTGAAATTTCGAGATAACCTAACTGAAATTTTAACACAAGAACTTGTCTTAAAATTAAGCAATCAAAAACAAAATAAGAACGGCTTTCATCCTAGTAAAGCATTATGTAAAGAAGGATCAATGAGGTTACTGGTTCCACCTCACTGCATTTTGCATTAAATCATCAGGTGAAAATAAATGTCTCAAACCGCAATGAATATATAGAGGTGGTAGAGGTGGTCATCACTGGACCATAGCCTCAGACCATTTAGACGTAATTCCCTTTCATTTACCTCAGACCATTTAGACATAATTCCCTTTCATTTATCTTGCCATTTTATCTCCTTCCAAAAGGTATTTAATGATTTACTTCTTTATTTCTTCCAAGTAGTTTTTAACCTGTGTAGAGATTATCATCACAAGTGAGGAGCAGACATAATCACATCCTACATATACCCGTGGACTAAACTCCATACAATTTAAACTGCAAGGAATGTGCTTTTGCAGCCTCATTACTCAGAATGATTGGTGAAGAGGAATGAACAAGATTAACACAAAAAATAACTTGTGAGGGGGTTGGGTAGTAGAGAGCAAAAAACTCAAGAGTACAACAGCTTGATATCAAAGAATCATCTTAGCAGTCTTTAAAAAACAGTGGCTAAAAGCATTCAAGTATTGATTTATCTAGAGATTTTTTTCTTAATTCAAAACTTTAGCTGATGAAACAACTAATCCAGAATCCACTTCCAGGCATATGGAGGACAAGGCAGTCAACAGTAGCAGTCAGCATGGAGTTACCAAGAGAGTCATGCTTTATCAGCTTTATAAACTGCAATGAAAAACTGGCTTGGTAGATAAGGGGAGAGCAGTAGATATTGTCCACCTGGACTTCAGTAAGGCATTCCACACAGTTTCCCATAAGATTCACGTAGAGAAGCTGATGCTGCCTGGGCTGGATGAGCAAAGGCTCTGGGGAATCTGATTCATATTTACAATTATCTGAAGGGAGGGTGCAAAGAAGATGGAGCCAAGCTCTTTTCAGTAATGCCAGTAACAGGACCAGAGGCAGTGGGCACAAACTGAAACACACAAGGTTCCCTCTGAACATCAGAAACCACTTTTTTACTGTGCAGGTGACCAAGTACTGGCACAGGCTGCTCTGAGAGGTTGGAGCGTCTCCCTCCTTCAAGATATTTAAACATTGTCTGGACATAGTTCTGGACAACCAGCTGTAGGTGTACCTGCTTGAGCAGAGGGGTTGGACAAGATGATCTCCAGTGGTCCCTTCCAATCTCAATTAGTCAGTCATTTTGTGCTTCTGTGATCTGTAAATATATGTACCATTTTAAAGAAAGAGTATGCCATCAAAATGAGTCCTTCCTGACTCAAAGAAGCCAGATTTGTGTTTCAAAGGCTATAGCAGATGTTCAGTGTTTGGTTACGTCTAATTCATGAC